GGCAGGCACCACCGCTGGCGCTGCACATGCAGAGCCGGCTTCTGTGCGTTGCGTTCTGCTGCTCGGCTAAGGCAAACTTAGGAGACGGAGGGCAGAAGCGGATTCCCAGGCTTCAGGTCTGCGGGAGCACTCGCGGTCATGAGCTGCGGGAGTGCAGCAGGGGGAGACTGAGGAGAGCTACTCCCACCGAGTAACCCCCGTCCCCTCCCTTCCTCTCCGTGGTCAGGACACCGTGATGCCGGGAGGAAGCCACTGCCCCTGCGATACCAAGCCGATGGAGGGGAACGCGGTGGATGCTGACAGTAGTGAAGGGAACACAGCAATGTGACAAAACGTTTCCTTTCGTCTCCAGGAATCCCCTCCAGGCAGGTGGGAAGCCAGAGGCAACCGCAGCCTGCAGAAAGCACTGCTTCGGCTGGAAGAGGAGCATCAAAGGTAAAAGAAAGCAGCGCCCTCATACTGGGTGTCCTGGATGCTCATGGAAGCGAGGGGAAACCTGTCAGCACTACCCGGTCTCCCCAAGGGAAGCAGCTGGGCAAGCCGCTTTGGAAGGAGAAAGGCCTACAGTCTGTTCTGGGGTGCCGTAACAGCATTGTGCCTGAACGGCTCCGTTTTGAGCGGGGCTTTCTTCTGGGTGACCAGCAAATGTCCCCTTCCAGCCTAAATTCTTCTGCGATTCAGTAGGTAGCCCACTCAGCAGAGCCCCATTTTGGGCTAAGAATCAAGCCCTGACATCCCAAACACTTCACGGCGCAGGCGCTTTGCTCCTTGGTTTTACCTGAACAGCGTCTCCTGTGCTTGGGTCAGAGTCTCCCAGCGGAGCCCTTGGCACCACAGGCTCCTTCTGCCACCTCTCTTGCTCTGCTGCTCTTTTCGCCTCTGCCCGCGAGAGAAGTTGCCTGTGGTGTGAAAGGCGTCTGTGTGCTGTGTTGCGTACGTTGAAAGCTGAGGTGGGAGAAGCACAACTCCTGTTCTGATCCAGGAACTTGCGGTGTGTGCTTGTTCCCAGGGCAGCAGTTCTTGAAATGTCACTCATGAAATGTTTGCTGGATGGGATGTTAGTCTGCGGCCCCAAAGCTGTTAACCCACAGTGCTTGACGGTTCAGTTTTCAGCTGAAAGTTACATATAGAGCTGTTTGCCCTGCGTACATGGGGCTGTCTTTGTGGCGTGCGGTTTACTGGATAAGCAAGGTGAGGTCTTTGCTACAGATCTCACACAGGGTGTAGGACAAGGACAGGGCGAGCCTTAACAAGGTGAGGGCCGCGGTGGGTACAGCATTGCAGTGAAAAAGCTGTGGAAACGTAGAGAGTGGAGGAAGAGAGGTGGCGAGGACAAGGGCAGAGAAAGGTGATGCATCCAGTGATCAGGTAGCATGAAGGGGAGGCAGGACGTTAGCTGTGGGCATCCCCAGAGCTGAAGAGGAGCAGGGGAACTGAAACTGTAGATGGAAATGGAAGGCTCAAAGCAAGGAGTAGCAGATGGGTTTGCTGTGACAGGGTGGTCTTGCTTAATCCTAGAAAGCACTTTCACTGCCTCTCAGTTTGAGAAGCAAGTCAGCGTTGAAGGAGTTGGAAAATCACGGGGATGCTGCTGGTGGGTAGCAGTTGTTGAGCGACCTCCTTGCTGCTTCTCCGTTCCAAGGTGTGAGGATCTGGCAGAAGCGAACACTGTTCTGCAGGAGCACCTCGATCAAGCGAACTTGGCCAACTCAGCCCTCCAGGAAGATGTTGGGAAGCTGGCGGCGGATTAGATGAGGGCCCAGGAGGAGCTGGAACTGAAGGAGAGCGAGTGGCGCACTGACCGTGAGGTAAGGACAGGCTACGGCAGTGATGCCAGAGCGGAGTGGGAATGCATTGTATTTCTGGCATAGAGGGCTTGCCGTG